CAGTTTGATTGGGAAATCATATTGTTTTAAAATTATATAATCACTAAATTTAAATATATTTATATATAGAGGAAAATTAAGTCCTGTGACGCTGTTAACAAATGTGTCACACTTTGGGAAATTCAGGGATGGAAGTTAGAGTATTGGGCTAGCTGTCAGAAGACCAGAGGTCTAGAACTGGCTCTGCCCCTTAAGGAGCTGTGCTTTTGCAAGTATATAACCTTTCAAAGCCTCAGTTTCCTTGTCTCTAGAATGAATATAGCATAATTGAGGTCCACGGTATATTTTTCAATAAATGTTAGCAAATGTACCAATAATTTCCTTGTCATCCATTGTGATATTGTGATTTATAAGAAAGATATATTTGGTCTTCATTGCATAATTGACACAGAGGTCATAAAACCCTTGACATCTCCTAAGTGATGAGTAATAAAACTGCCTTTTGTTATTCATAACAAGCCTCTTTCACTCACACCAGAATTTATGTTAATGACGTGATTTTTGAAAAGCCCCTAAGGATGGGGGCCAGTTGTCTCTAATCAACTATGCCGATTAGAGGGTTGGAATTTTCAACCCCACCCTTGAGACCTTTAGGGAGGGGAGTGGGGCTAGAGATTGAGTTCAATCACCAGTGGCCAGTCATCTAATAAATAATGTCTATGTAATAAAGCCTCCATAAAACCCCCAAAAGACAGGTTTGGAGTAGCTTCCAGGTTGGTGAATGCATCCACATGCTGGGAGGGTGGCGAACCTCAGCTCCACAGGCCAGAGCTCCTGCACTCAGGACCCTTTGGACCTTACCCAGTGAATGAATTTATCAGGCTGTTCAACTGTATCCTTTATAACATCCTCTATAATAAGCTGGTAAACGTAAGTAAATGTTTCCCTGAGCTCTGTGAGCCATTTTAGCAAATTACTGAATTCAAGGAAGAGGTCATGAGAATCCCAGTTTTTAGCCAGTGAGTCAGAAGTACAGATGACAAGCTGGACTTCAGTTAGTGTCTAAAGTAGGGGCAGTCTTATGGGACTGAGCCCTTAACCTGTTGGATCTGATTCTGTTGTTACTGAATTAGACAGTCCCTCTCTTGGAGTCCTAGCTGAACCGAAGCCTTCCTGGCTCAGTGAGGGAGTTCTATTCTGCTCAGGTTCACGCTTCCAATAACAAAACTGAGTTTGGTGCAAGCAAAACAGGCTTTTATTCAATGGCCAGCGAATGGAGAAAGGAAGCTCATGCTCTAAAAGCACCTCCTCCCTAAAGGGACGAAAGTGGGGGACTTTTAAGGGGTGAGAGGCAGACAGGTCATCAGGGCTCTAGGAAAAGGGTGGGGATTTCCAGGTGAAATAGGAAGGAAGGGAGCAGGGCACAACCTTTAAAAGAAAGATATAGCCATAGTACATGAGAAAGACTGGTTAGAACCATCTGGGTCCAAGATGGTGGAAGATTCGACCTCCAGCAGACCTTGAGCGTTATTATATACTCATTGTAAAACATGAGCATATGCTAAATAACACACCCACGGAGCGCCATGACAGTTCTGAGGCCAACCATAAAAGGTCAAAAAGTGGGCGGTGGCCCAGTTCCTGGAAATCCCCGCCCCTTCCCCAAAATAATTGGAACAATCCTCTCACTCATTAGCTTGCGAAATTACCCAGCCCATATAAACTAACCACGCCATATTTTGAAGCCTCTTGCCTTCCGAGATGGCCCACGCTCTGTCTGTGGAGTGTGTTTCTCTCTAAATAAATCCACTTCTTACCTATCACTTCATCTCCGAATTCTTTTGCAACGAAGCAAGAACCTTAAATTCACCAGGAACACAGGGGCATCTGGGGGCATCTGGGGCATTTGCAGTCTTCCAGGCTCCAGGTTTCCTCTGCACAGGGTATTCCTGTGGTCAAATCAGAGCCGGTTCAGGGCGGTTTACCACTATATATCTCTGAAAGCATGTATCTCTCCAAGTATAGCTGCAAAGCATCTCTGCCAAACACAGGTACAGCTGAAACAAACACAGAGATGAATCAGGGCATGTCCTTCAGCTCTCAGGGGTTGGTATGGAGACACAGAGATAAATCAAGGCAAGGAAAGTGATGACCTTTAGCCTACTTGGCCCACTATCTTGGATCTAGCCAGTTCAGTTTGGTTTTTTCATGGGCCTTTGTGGCATCCTGTTGATAAAACACAATTAGGCTACAAGGTTAAAAACAGGTCTGCGGCCTGGGCTGCACAGCATGGGTGACACTATCTCCAGGTAGAGTCAGAATTCAGTTAAATCTGTAGGATACTCAGTACGTGTTCACGGAGAATTGGAGCATTGTTTGGTGGTGTTGGAAAGCAAACCACCCACTGATAACTTTCCATCCCTCAACTATTTTGCCTCTTTTCCCTATCTCTGGAAGAAAGCGAAATGGCCTTCACCTAGAAGACTTTAAAAGCTGGGTGCTGGACTTTCCTCATGGTCCAGTGGGTAAGACTCCGTGGTCCCAATGCAGGGGGCCTGGGTTCAATCCCCGGTCGGGGAACTAGATCCTGTATGCATGCCTCAACTAAAGATCCCACGTGTGGCAACAAATATCTGGCACAGCCTAAATAAGTAAATATTTTTAAAAATAAATAAATAAAAGCTGGTTGAGCCCTATTTCTGCTATGCTGCCTGAAGTGGATAATGGCCAGTAACTCACAAGAGACAATCCTAGGAAAAATGAGCTAATGTTATAAACCTGTAATGTGAACTCTCAGACACAGAACACTAAAAAGTCTACGTTTTCTGCAGGAGCCATTCAGCACTCCAGGGGAAACTTGATTTGCCTGAATAATAATAAACTATAATGATAATAGCCAAGTGCACCTCACAGTCACTAAGCTTTAATGACTCAATATTTGTGGAACCCTTGAGCACCTCCAAAATTATGTAAGCATAAATGAATAAGTAGGGACACCATATACCATTGTTATTTCTACATTAAATCTCTCTTGGCAATTTCTTATCTTATAATAGCCTGTAAGGTAGGTATTGTATGAGACTAATACATGAAGAAAATTATGGAAGAAATAAGTATAAAATAATATATAGTGGTGATTTCTAATGAAATAATTATAATCTCATATTAGTGAAAAAGAATGGAGTCCTTAACAGTACCTCTAAAAAGCCATTCCTAAGTTGTAAAGTAGAAAAATGAAAATCTGGAAGAGACCCTTAAGATTTAAATGTCTAAAAAGAGTTTGAAAAAACACTTGCTATTTTTTTTCTTAGGAAGGAGACAGCTAATATTTTAGTTGTTTTTTTCACTATGAAGAAATTATAATGATGTTTACTCTGTTTAATTTATCTCTTAATAGAAATTGTATATTTTCATACATCTTCCATTCTGCCTTTCCATCTTCCCCTCCATCACCAGCATTATTTATGCAATGTGATAATACTTTTAATGTTCCTAGGTTAAAAAAATATCTTCAGAACCCTGTATATTTTCATTATATTTTCCAAAATGCACCATTGTGATTGTGATATTGTCCCTAATTTCAACTGGGGTAACTAAAGATAGAATGCGTCAGACCAAACAATGTCTTCAACAAACTTGCGTGTAATACCACAATCTCCACCAATGAAAGATTCATTTCTTCCAGTGAGTTTCATCTATAAAAAATCCTTTGAGAGGATTCTGCTGAAGAGTGCTCTTATTGTCCTTGCTTTTCCCCTTTCACCTAGCTGACATCATTTTCCTCAAGACCAAGGGAGTTTCCAGGGGTGAGAAGGAAAGTAAAAATAATGTTACCTCTTTGATGAGAGTAATTCTGAGTGGGATAACACTGTACCAGGTTTTGAACAGGTTCTTCATCCTGAGAGAGGGCAGAAGGGACATGGAGAGGTAGGAGGACATTAATACAAAACCCACATGCTTTATGTTCTGCCTAGGACCAGATGTGATGGCCTATAAGCATCAGTCGTAGGATTATTTTCCACTCACTGAGTATTCTTGCCAATGTTCTGCTTTTTGTTTACAGCATTGACATTTTGCACACAGTTAATATTTTTACATCCTTACACCCTGTTGAACATACTAAATTTTGTCACTCCAGTAGTATTGGGAGTGGACTTGGACAATAGGGGCCTCTACCCCAGCAGGTGCTTCAGCAGTGCCATTTTCCACGTCACTCCGACAGGACCAAGGGCATGTGGCCACCCAGAGACTGTGTTCCGCCTTCTAGACCATACCATGGTAACTGGGACTCTGGATTGTCTGTTCCACAAGCGCTGAGCCCACTCTTCATCCCCATGGGAGCTCTTTCCTGGAGTCTCTCTTCCTGTTGGCCTACTTGCAGTGGGTGTCTTCCTCCCTAGACCCTAAGGGTAAAGAAATGCTGTTAGCAGAGATGTCTATGGATCCTGGTTGTGAGGGTGCCTGTGGGCATTGCAGACCCCTCAAGTGTGGAGTGATATTGGGGTGGGAAGAGACAGGGATGAGGAATGGATGGTGGAGTGGGGACAGCTGGAAACAGCTGGACCTGCCATCATCACATTCAGTTGTAGAGCAAAGAAAATTCTGAAAAGTCTCGATTAAAACCTTGTCTCACAGTCCAGTGGTTAAGACTCAGCGCTTCCACTGCAGAGGGCACAGGTTCGATCGGTGGGGTGCAGCCAAAAAAAAAAAACAACCTTGCCTCAGCCTCAGGTTTCTTCCAAGACTTTTAAAGAAGAGCCCTGGAGGTAGGGCTTGGGGGTCATCAAGTGGGCAGAGAATTCCAGGCATGGACCAGGTGGCATAAAGAGAAATCTTATTTCTTTCTCTTTTCTTTTTCTTCCTTCCCTCCCTCCCTTCCTTCTTTTTTTTTTGTTCAGGATCAAAGGAAATCTTTATTCTTTGATCAAAGAATGGAGAGGTACGACCTCCTACTTTCCCAGTACATGCTCTCCCTGACAGGCCGTGGCAGGGCTCCTTTCTACGGGTCTTGTCAGCGGGGGAGAGGGCGAAGTTCTTGCGGGTTGGCGCAGGCGTACTGCTCACGGCTCCAGCCGGCAGTGCCGGTGCAGCGCGTCTGCGCACAGCCCACCACCGCCATCTTGAACTGCGGGGTCGTGCGCGGCTCTTCTGCGCACAGCCAGCCAAGCTGAGGTGTCAGGCGCAGATGCTCGGCTCTGGGAATTCCGGTCAGAAGTGCTGGGTGTGTGGACTCTGCATGCGGCCCCCTGTGAGCAAATGAAACCGGACTAAGCCCAAAGGAGAAAAAAAAGGTTAGACTTGACTTTATTGCCCACATTCTGTTTTTATTTCCTGGGAATTGTTAATGGGCTTTGCCGGTGACAGATCCCTCCTCTGCCTTTTGTCCTGCTCCTCATTCTTGAGGGGCGCTGATGGGCACAGGTTGTTTACTGTAACTGCTTCCTGTTAAGTATGGGTGTTGTCATAACGCGGGGTGGAGAAGCAGGACTTCTCCCCAGCTACTTTTAGGTATGTTTGATGGTCCCAAGGCCTCAGCTCTAACTTTTTGTATCCCTAGTGACCACCTTTTGCCTTACCTTTTGGAGACAAAGGACACTAGACAATTTAATATACCTGGCCCAAATATTAGCGAGAGAATAACGGTCACATGTCAAATTTTCCTAAAAATAAAGGTATCTAGGTCTTTTGCCTGTAGGCAAATGTGACCTGATGTCGAGGCTCTTTGCTCTGGCCCTAATATCCCTGGTTACACTTTGGTTGTGGTTTTTTTTTTTTTTTTTTTTTTTTGCGGTACGCGTGCCTCTCACTGTTGCGGCCTCTCCCGTTGCGGAGCACAGGCTCCGGACGCGCAGACTCAGCGGCCATGTCTCACGGGCCCAGCCGCTCCGCGGCATGTGGGATCTTCCCGGACCGGGGCATGAACCCGTGTCCCCTGCATCGGCAGGCGGACTCTCAACCACTGCACCACCAAGGAAGCCCTTTGGTTGTGTTTTGGAAGAGAAGCTTCAGGTCAGAGAGAGGTTCACACTAGTAGTCAAGGGTGTCTCTTGTCCTAGGTTGTTTCTCTGGAGGTTAAGTCTCGGGGAGCTCTTCCCTAGAATGCAACGTCCCCACGGAGTTGCAACCCCCCTTGCGTCACGGTGTTTTTGGCAAGAAAGTAATTTTGAAACTCTGCTGTGCATTTTACTGTTCCTTTACCACATTAAAAAAAATACTGTAAAGGTATATTTGTTTTTACAAAGGTAGAAAATGTTTTATTTAACAGTTTGTTGTCTTGTTTATTGTATCTTTTATATTTGGATGGGCTGGACCTGATTATATAACAAGGCCCTCCCAACTTTCCTGGGTACAATTTTTGGTATAGGATTGAGAGGACATTACAGATGAATAAGATGAGTATTTTCAGATATTTTCAGATGATTCAGATGAGTATTTCTGTAATCAGGTACAGTATGCAGCGATGAGCATAGTGTAGTCAATCTCTACGTTAATCAAGATATAGAATATTTTCATGCTACATAATGAAAAGGGGAGAGAGAATGGAGATCTAATGCATACCATGACGTTTTCTTAAAGTAGTACTGCCACATATATCAAAATGGCTCTCTTTTCCTCATAGTTAGCAAAGCACTGATCTATATATAAAGTGCAAAAAATGATTAAATTTCTAATAAGTTCACATATGTAAGTGACTAGTATGGAGAAAGTCATAATATAGTATATGAAAAAGTTATTGTGGGACTTTCTCTTAGGCAATAGAGTGGAAGAACTTTAGAAATAACCCTTTATTTTATATGTAGAAGTAAGTTGAGACCCAGAGCTTCGGCCAGTGTCCATGATTAAATAGTGTTGATGCCAGATTCCTAATACAAGGAGCTTTATGCTATAATCACTCCCAAATGGCTGATCCATCATTAATACAAATGCCCCAAAAGATACTTGATATTACGTACAGATTATATTTCTGTTAAACTAGTGTAAACTTTCCCCGGTTCCATATCTCTAGACTCCTGGTTTGTTACATTATTGCTAAATGGTTTAACTGGAATTGACTGACTAGTACTAAGCAAATATTCTGCAAACCTAAGGAAAACTATATATAAAGCGTTAACTGGTAGGTATAGTCTTTTGTTCTTAATTCAAGGATCGTCACTAGACAATGAAGGGACCCCCAAATTAGACATTTTACTTGGGAGACAATATGCAGCAGAAACATCCATTCAACCCTAAAAATATGTTTGCTTTAGATCTTTGATTAGTGTCACATTCCCACTACTCAATATGTCACAAAAACATTGGACTAGATGATTCTGTATATACTTGGCAGCAGGCTGATTCAGTTTTTTAAAACATGAACAATCAAAAGGAAGCTTAACATTATTATTATGAAAAATACATTAACAATTAAATTTTAAAGGAAAATATGTTTATATTTTGAACGTAACATTGCTGTTTGGTCCTTGCAGCAGGACAAAAGGTTGATTGTGTGAGGAGCAAAGATTTCAACCTTATATTGAGTTCATTTGGATGGGAGAGGAGAATATGTCTTTTTAAAAAATAGAGATATAACTTACACAAACTAAAGTGCTCAGATCTTAAATATATAGATTGAAAAATTGTATGTGTTGATTCACTCGTGTAACCGCTACCCTAATCAAGATATAAAACATTCTAGACCTCCGTGAAGATTCCCTCGTGTCCCTACCCAGACAGTAATCCCCACCACACACATACCAGTATCCTGATTTTATCACCATATTAGTTTCTTTTTGAACTTCCTGTAAATAGGCTCATACATCATGTACTCTTTTGTGTCTGGCTTATTTCACTCAGCATTAAGTTTGTCAGATTCATACATGTTGTGTGTATCAGTAATAAGTTGTTTTTTATTACTGTGCAGGAATTGGTAGGTCAAGGATTATAATTATGTATGGCATTTGTAGGAAAAGGCAAATATTTTCCCAAATTGGTGATAACAGTAAAACTTCTATTTGCTCCACACCCGCACACATCCTTTTTTGGTCTTTTTCATTTTAGCTATTCTGGTGGATATAGAGTGGTTTTATCTTGCAGTCCTCTGAAAACTGATATTTTGAGGATCTTTTTATATATTTATTGTCTATTTTGATATTCTCTTTTAGGAAGTTTTGTTTAAATCTTACCCATTAGCAATTGAATGTTCTTTTTCTCATTTAATAGGAATTCTTTGTATGTTCTGTTGATACATATGTATTGAGGTTATTTTCTCTCAGTTTTATCTTACCTTTCATTCTCTTGAAAATTTAGTTTACTGAACAGTTATTAATTTCAACAAATGTCAGTATTTTTATGGCTACTGCATGGATGTATTTTATTTTTATTTATGTAGAGACTTCGTTGTTTAGCTTTCACATAAGTCTATGACCAATATCTGAGTAATTTTGTATGTGGTATAAAATACAGGTCCAGGTTCTTTTAAAGATAAATATGTGTAGTCCAATTGATCCAGTGCCATTATTGAGAAGATTGTCATCTATGAAGCTGCAGTTGAGACACATGCAAGGACCAATTACAGACATAGCATTTCCTTTGGAGGAGACTGAACCTGTCAAAAAAAAAAAAAAAAGGAAAGAAAGAAAGAGAAACAGGGACATTCTGAAAAATGTCTCTTTATTTGGTATTAGGGACATTTTGGTTTTGGATTAAGAGATAAATTCTGAAAAATGTATATTAATATTCTAAAATAAAAAGTTTATTTAAAAATGTCTGCAGATTTCCAGTTTTAACTCTGACATGCAAGGAAATTAGAAGTCACCACTCATAAGAAAAATCATGAAAAATAATCTGAAAATCAATGACTTATCTTGGGCTTATTGGAGAACTGAGGTTACGGGACAAACCACCATGCAAAATCTGGAGAGATAAGCAAATATAAAGAATCATAGATAAAATAGATTTTCTGCTTACAGGAGCAGGAGCTGCTGTAGCTAGAGACTGGTAGGGACACTTAAATGTCACTTCGATGAACTGTTGGAGGCAGACCTAAACTAGTGTGAGACGGAGAGACTTCTGAGGTCCACAGTCTTACAGAGGGTCCCCATACTTTTCCTGGGTTTTACTTACGTTTTATCTCTACATTCACTGAACTTGTCTTCTCCTCCGGTCAGTGTGCTGTTAAAATTATTCGATAAGTTATTAATTCAGATACTATATTTTGCTGTTCCATTGTCCTAAAATGTCCATTAGGATTTTTGTTTGTTTGTTTTTTTAGGGTACGTGGGCCTCTCACTGTTGTGGCCTCTCCCGTTGCGGAGCACAGGCTCCGGACGCGCAAGCTCAGCGGCCATGGCTCATGGGTGCAGCCGTTCCGCGGCATGTGGGATCTTCCCGGACTGGGGCACGAACCCGTGTCCCCTGCATTGGCAGGCGGACTCTCAACCACTGCGCCACCAGGGAAGCCAAGGATATTTTTTATAGATTTTAAACTTCTGCAAAAATCATTCATTTTTCATTCGTTTCCTTATTATTTCTCACTAACTTTAATATATAAGTTTTAACATCTTTCATGGAGTATAATTGCTTTACAATGGTGTGTTAGTTTCTGCTTTATAACAAAGTGAATCAGCTATACATATACATATATCCCCATATCTCCTCCCTCTTGCATCTCCCTCCCACCCTCCCTACCCCACCCCTCTAGGTGGTCACAAAGCACGGAGCTGATCTCCCTGTGCTATGTGGCTGCTTCCCACTAGCTATCTGTTTTACATTTGGTAGTGTATATATGTACATGTCACTCTCTCACTTCATCCCAGCTTACCCTTCCCCCTTCCCATGTCCTCAAGTCCATTCTCTAGTTCTGCAACTTTATTCCTGTCCTGCCCATGGGTTCTTCAGAACCACTTTTCTTTTAGATTCCATATATATGTGTTAGCATACGGTACTTATTTTTCTCTTTCTGACTTACTTCACTCTGTATGACAGTCTCTAGGTCCATCCACCTCACTACAAATAACTCAATTTCGTTTCTTTTTATGGCTGAGTAATATTCCATTGTATATATGTGCCACATCTTCTTTATCCATTCATCTGTCGATAGACACTTAGGTTGCTTCCATCTCCTGGCTATTGTAAATAGAGCTGCAAAGAACATTGTGGTACACGACTCTTTTTGAATTATGGTTTTCTCAGGGTACATGCCCAGTAGTGGGATTGCTGGGTCATATGGTAGTTCTATTTGTAGTTTTTTAAGGAACCTCCATATTGTTCTCCATAGTGGCTGAACCAA